GGGGGAAGGTGTGGGAGCAAGTACCTCCATGGCAGTGGGAGCATGTGTACCAACTGCTGGCTCATATCTCAGTTCCACAGGAAGTACCCATGGAACAGGAAGTAGGAACAAGCTATTGACCTCAAGGCCAAACCCCACTAACCTACTTCCTCCAGCTAAATCCCACCTCATTAATGGTCCATGCCCTCCCAAACGCATCACCAGCTGGGGACCGGGTATTCAAACACAGGAGCCTGTGAAGGATATTTTTCCTGCAAATGGTAACAAAAAGTCTGTGCAAATGTCTTTTGAATGTCCGCTCTAAACAACTGCCAGCTAAGCCCACCTGAAGCCAATTTTTCTGCTCATTGAGAAAGTGATAGTAAAGGAATTATGAGGAAGATGACTCTGGAGCCATGGTTAAGTGCTCCAGCTTCGTGCCTTCCAGGGCTGACACCGTTTGGTCTGTTTCCCTGCCCTCTGGAGGCCTCTCTAGAGCAGAAGTCAGGTGCTGTGGCTATCCACCCAGCTCTGGGATGGACTATGGGTGGAGTGTTGCTAGAGTTTTCCTGACTGACCCACAGTCAGGACAAATCTCTCTCACCCGCCAGTCCCACAGCCGCTCAAACCCGATCAAGTAAACACAGAGACTTATATTGATTACAAACTGTATGGCCGTGGCAGGCTTCTTGTTAACTGTTCTTACAGCTTAAATTAATCCATTTCTATTAATCTATACCTTGCCACGTGGCTTGTGGCTTACCGGTACTTTACATCTTCCTTGTCCTGATGGCGGCTGGCAGTGTCTCTCCCACCCAGCTTCCTGTTCTCTCAATTCTCCTCTCTGTTAGTCCCGCCTATACTTCCTGCCTGGCCACTGCCAATCAGTGATTTATTCATTGACCAATCAGCAACACATTTGACATACAGACCATCCCACAGCAGTGGAGGAAATTTAAGTTCTAGGTAGGTTCTAGGCAGGTCCTAGGGACTCTAACAACTTCCTCAGGACCCCTCAGCCTGGCCTGGATGGACACAATTGTTTCCATCCATGACCTGAAAATATGAGGGTAGCTTAAAGCATCTGATTTTGAGTCTTCCAACATAGAAGGCTCTGGAAAACCCAGTCTTACTTTTCTAACAGATATTTCTATTTCCTGTATTATAAAATATATATTTTTGTTATTTCATATTTTAAAGTCCTCAGTTTAAGTGTTCCATCCTACATCATTTTAGCCTGTCATACCACCAAGATAAACTAACCAAGCAAAAGTCCCAGCTCCCGTCCTCTGTATAGACGCTTTCCCTGAAATGCATTTTGAGCAGCTCACTGTGTGGCTGTGCCTGGGTGGGTACACACATGCTCTCCCACTACACTGCTCAGCAGCCCTGTCTCTGGGTCTGTTGGAATCTTTGGGTGGATTGCAATGGGAAAATAGTTGCCAGGGGACTCAGTGGTGTCATTCTCTGTCACCTCTGTGGTAGACGTGCAGTAGAACAATGTGGAGTTAGTGGCTTAAAGTGTGGCTTTAACACTACACTGTTGATTTTATGCCTTGTCTTAGTCGGGATTACCATTGCTGTGACCAAACACCAAGACCAAAAGGCAAGCTGGGGAGGAAAGGGTTTATTCTGCTTACACTGCCATATCACAGTTCATCATCAAAGGATGTCAGGACAGGGACTCAAACAGGGCAGGAACCTGGAGGCAGGAGCTGATGACATGGAGGACAAGAAGAGGACATGGAGGTGTGCTGCTCACTGCCCTGCCCCCTATGGCTCACTCAGCCTGCTTTCTTATAGAACCCAGGACCACCAGCCCAGGGATGGAACTACCCACAATGGGCTGGGCCCACCCTCATCAATAACTAAGAAAATGCCCTACCGCTGGATCCTATGGAAGCATTTTCCCAATTAAGATTCCTTCCTTCCAGATAACTGTAGTTTGTGTTCTCGTTGACGTAAAACCAGCCAGCACACACCTGGATCTTAAGAATGGCTTTTGCTCAGAGAATAATCATTATAAAGCTGTATGCTTTACTTGTAAAATATTAAAATACATTTTAAAACTTAAAAAGCAGGAACAGGAAAATTACCCACAAACATGTAATGTGGACATTTTGTTTTGTTTTGTTATTTTCAAACATTGTCAACCTATAGTTGGTCGAACCACTGGGTGTGGAACATGGAGATAAAGAGGGGCAACTGTATCCATGGTTGTGCTAATTAATTCATGAAAGTTGAATAGGATCAGTGTACGCAGATCCTAATTGGTAACATTTCTACTAAGCTTGTTCTTGCGATTTGTGTCTTGCTCCCTGTCTTTGTTGGAGAGCAAACATGGCATCCATTTCAGGCTGGAAGCAATCAGGCCATTGTTTGCTCTGTCTGTATCCCTAAATTGTCCTCACTGATACTATATGGGAGGTCTGTACTTGTAATGTTAGAAATGCAGTCAAAATTTACTAGTGAGACAATTACTCAGCTGTGGTACAATTGGCTGAGGATTTTGCAACCAACTGTGATTAAGAAATAGGTTGTGGGGCTCAGTTGGGAGCAGCCCAGGGCTAATGAAGCCTCTTGATAAGGGTGATAGACTCACAGCTGGAATTGGTAAAAGAGAAGGGATGCACTGTGGGTGTCAGAAGGGAGGGTGCTATGGTCCTGCAGCCTGGTTGAATGAAGGGTGTAGAGCTTGGGAAGCAGGGCTTCTGGGACCAGATAGGCTTGAGTCATGTGGGACAATGGGAATGTCTAGCTTGCTTGGTAAAAAGTCACTTCTTTTGTGGTCTAGCAATGATGTGGTGTAGCACTTGAGTTGACCAAAATGATACAGGAGAATCAGACTTTGAAATACCTTTGTGTCGGGAACTCAGAATATTTAAGCTGCTCCTTTTAGAATTCTGCTGTGGAGAGCACCCCAATTCCAAAACCACCAGCTGTGAAAATAACCCCAGAAAGCCTTCAGCTCAACCATAAGAGATGTCAATCATCAGTACAAATGTGATGAAAAAGAGTTAACGTGGGCCCTCAGTCCTTTCCCCACGCCTACCAACAACTGGTCTGAAAGCCATTACTGTAGGCCCAACACCCTGGACACAGAGCCAATGATGAATACGGGAGCCCTTCCTTCGGTCACCAATGCTTCCTATAAATGATGAATTATGATAGATCCTGGTACAGGGAGTACAGAGCAGGTCAAAAGCTGCCTAAATACTGGCACTAGGTTTTCAACTTTTAGACTCTTCTTGTCTTTCCAGATGCCTAACTTACTACAGTTTCTTTTTCCATAAAAAAGGGATTAGCAGGCAATGAAGATATAAAGAAACTGTATGTGTTTACCCACTGGATATTCTCAAATGGTCTTACATAAGCCATAAGAGGAAAAATGCAGCATAGGGCCGATCCACACTGAGTTCTTCTGATTACACTGAGCTCGGAGTCAGCAATTAGATTTGCTTGACTCAACAGTTTCCCATCAGGCCTGGCAAGCCTGATTAAAATATCTATTTCTTCAGAAATGAAATTCCCAATTCCCATAAATGATATCCTTGACCCAGAGGCACCTGCTTGTGTAAGTGACTCCTTCCACTACTCAGGACGGAAGACATGGGATAGGCCTGAGAGCAGAGGTGAGAAACTCTGATTCCCAGCCAGCAGGCGGTGCCAGGGAAGGAGGTCGGAGGTAACTAGGGAGTGGGGATGGTGGCCAGTTGGAGAACTCAGCCTGCTGGGTCAGTTCTCGCCTGTCACTGCCAAGAAGATGGAAATGTAGACGTTTATGTAATGTCTGCTAGTTATTAAATGCTAGATGAAAAGATTTTCAAATAACAAGTTAGCCAAATCAGACACACCCCCAGGGGATCCATCTGCAGCTTCTGGGCTAGAGGTAAAATACCAACAGCTAGCCCTAAGGTGCTGGTCACTGGGGAAGAAACAAGCATCTGAGAACTCAAAGGACACATAAAGACTTGTTCAGTCTTCTGAACGCCTCACCCTCTTGTGTGCCCACATGTACAGCAGTATTAGAGCATCTTTGTTGAGCCAACAGCATCGTGAGTATTTTGTAACAAATATTTATCCATGTAACCAGAAAAGTCTCATTCTTATCTGACATGTAAAATGAAGTGACTAGAGAAGAAGTGTCATAACCAGGAAAACTGGTCCCTGTTATTGGGGACCAGGGTCTCTCCAGGGAAACAAAGCCTGTGGGGTGTGTGTGGGGGAGAGTGACAGAGGGAAAGACAAATAGATTCATTTTAAAGGATTGGCACTCATGATCATGGGCACAGTGAGACTGAGCTTTGTGAAGTAGACCATCGGGCTGGAAACTGAGGCAGGCCACATTACATTCTCTAGGCAGAGGTTGTTTTTTGTTTGTTTGTAAGTTTTCTTCGTCTCTGGGAACTGGGTTTGCTCTCAAGTCCTCACTTGATTAAAAGGCACCCACACTTTGGAATATAATCTACTTAAAATGTACCTGATACTACATGTTAACTGCATCTCTAAAGCTCATGGCAACCTCTAGACTATCATTTGATAAGACAATGGGTGCCGTAGCCTACCCAAGTAGATAGAACAAATTGACCAAGAGAGGAGGGTGCAGTCTTGGCCATCCACTTGGCCGAGTGCATGGAGTAAGTCGGCTTGTTGTAACTGCCAGAGCCTTTGAAAACAGAAGTAAAGGGCCTGGGGCTGGCTCAGTGGTTATTCTTGCAGAGGACCCAGCATCTATGTTGAGCAACTCACAACTGCCTGTAATTCCAGCTCCAGGGCATCTGACACCCTATGAAATGTTTCATCATAGTGTAGCTGTCTGTGGTCCACAGAACCAAGGGGGAGGCTCTTGCAGTAGTTCTGGGAAGAGTATACTGGGGCAGTCAATGGTAGAGTGTGGCACGAACGGCTTTGAGCCACGCTGGTTCAGACACATGGGTTCTCCCTCCAGGCTATTTTGAGAGGTTATATAGGTTCTAATCAGTGATTTCTTTATTTTCCTGTTTGTGGTCTCTTCTTCCCAGATCTGGACCTGTGGTCCTGGGAGTCGGGATGATCTGACAGGACATCCTCAGGAGGCTCTGGACTCTGCGTGAGGACCCCTTGGCCTGCAGAACCTGCCATTTGCACTTCTCAAATGCTTTGGATGATGACCGAGCACTCCCATCAGGAGCCTGCAAGGAACATCTGGTGTTCCCCGCCTCGGTCTCGAGACTCCATCTGAACAAGTACAACTGCACTTTAGAAACTCATCCCAGGGGTCCTGGACCCCAGTAAGGGCCTGAGAGCAAAAAGAATTGTTTTCCCCTGGGTTTCCACAGGGAGATGTGGAAATTCCCCATTAGTAAAACAGATTGTCATAGAGTTATTTATATCCATCATTTCCTCTGGCGGTTGGAAGCTTCAGACAGGTTTTGTATAAACACAGTCATAACTGTTGGGTTTCACAGCTTCCTAGTATCCTGGCAGCCTCTGAAGTTCTAATTGACAGGAAGCAGACAAGCACACATGAAGTACACAACCTTGGGATAAGGCATTTGTTTTGACCTTGCTTTTTTAAGGGCTGAGTCACGAGGCATTTGCTGTAACCTGTAATGTCCCTATGTTTCTTGGTGTTCTCTTGTTCAACTACATCTTTCCCTTAACACAAAGCGTTGTAGGGTTTTGCTGCTGCTGTTGTTGTTTTTCAGTGGTATCACCTTAAGAAAAAATGTCATGTCAGTGTGTTGTGCCTTCGGAGATTTCAGATGAGTAGCCGCAAGTTAAGCCAACTTCCCTAGCCTTCTGTGTGATTTTACAGTGAACCTTCTAGTAGCTCCGTTTCGACAGCTGTAATGTGGTGCTGTCATTAGTTAGGGCATTTGATGAAGGAAGTCTTTTCTGGAAGTCTTTTCAGGTCTCATTGTGCTCAGACGACAAAAAGGTGCTAAATGTGGTCTGTATGCTGGAACCATGAAACTCAGTGAATTTACTGACCTGTGAACTATCCAAATGTCACATTAGCTACTGTGACAGCTGTAGGTTAGTGGACCTGAAGCAAGTGTTTACCCGGTGTTTAGACTGAGCAGAATCTGGAGTTAATGAGATGAAAGGGTGTTATATTATATCATATAATACTATATATAAATATAGTATAAAATATTATACTATGTTTTGTCTCAGGACTTTTTACCTTTCTTTCATTCTGCATGTCCTACTTTCCTGCTTCCTCTGTGTCCGGCTGCCTGGCTGCCTGGCCTCTGGTGTTCCCCTCTCCTTTCTCCTCCTTTTTCTCCTTCTCTCTCAAGCCTAGATTCCTCCTCCTCCTTATTCTCTCTGCCCACCAGTCATGCCTATTCCTTTACTGCCTAGCTATTGGCTGTTCAACTTTTTTTGGGGGGGGGTGTTGTTTTGTTTTTCGAGACAGGGTTTCTATGTGTAGTTTTGGTGCCTGTCCTACATCTTGCTCTGCAGACCAGGCTGGCCTCAAACTCACAGAGATCCACCTGGCTCTGCCTCCCAAGTGCTGGGATTAAAGGCGTGCGCCACTGCCTCCCGTCTCTGTTCAACTTTTTTTTTTTTTTGGTTTTTCGAGACAGGGTTTCTCTGTGTAGCTTTGCGCCTTTCCTGGATCTCGCTCTGTAGACCAGGCTGGCCTCGAACTCACAGAGATCCGCCTGCCTCTGCCTCCCGTGTGCTGGGATTAAAGGCGTGCGCCACCACCGCCCGGCTTCAACTTTTTATTAGACCAATCAGGTGCCTTAGGCAGGCCAGGTGAAACTGTGACACATCTTTGCATAATTAAACAAATGCAACATAAATAAATGCAACACACCTTTACATAGTTAAAGTAATATTCCACAACATAGACAAATGTAACACACCTTTCCATAGTTAAAGTAATATTCCATAAGGTGCATCTTAGTCTTTCTTCATCTGCCTGCACAAAAGAGGGAATGCTTTTGAAGCACAAACATGTAACTGTTTATTGGGAACTTCTGAGGTGTCATTTGCAGCAAGGTGGGTCTCTCACTGCTTCCATGCCATGGCCTAAGATTCCCATTGGGGAAGCAGACCCTCCCAGTACCAGAGAGCAGTGCAGACAGAAAAGTAGTTCTGGGTATAGACCTACTTATGCTAGACCCCACCTCTCAGGTGCATGATTGGCAGGCCGAATCCTGATTGCCAGTCAATGTTGAGTGGTTTGTTTGCTTTATTAGGAATCAGTGGCAAAATGGATTCTGACAAAATATTGCCATCTGTGGCCCTTGCTGGGGCTGTTTTTCTAGGATATCAAATAGAGAAAGGGCCGTCTAGATCCAATATCCTCAAATCCTAAGAGCAGACTATAAGGTCCAGTGTGTTAACTGTTTTACACTGTGACCTCTCACATTAACCCCTAGCATTTACCAAATAGTTACTACATGCTTGATACTGTTAAGCATTTTCTACACACCATTGAAGTGACTCCTCTCCAAATCCTCTAAAAGGGGCACTATTAATGACTTCATGTCACACACAAGGAGCCCAGAGCCCAGAGAGGTTAGACGATCTGGCCAGGGCTTCTACATTGTTTAGAAGGAAGTGAGCAAGGACATCAGACCCATATTTATTACAGCCTTTAATGTGCTCTGGCTTCCCTGGATGGGACTTCAAGGTGGACTTCTGCCACTTGCATATGCCCAGTGGTATTTTGACTGGTCAAGGACTAATTTCACGCTCACTCTTCCTGGGGAGATTCAAGAGATGTGGAGGGGAAGTACAGGTTTGGGGCCCAAGATTCAAACTCTAGCTTAACTATGTAAGCCTTTAGATCCACCAGATGACCTCCTTAAGCATTAATTCACCTATCTGAAAAATTCGTAGTAAAAGAACAGTGCTTATCACTGTCCTGTATCAGGCACTATTATGTGCTGTGTGCAATGAGTACTTGATAAATATGTGTCAGTGTGAATCCCCCAAAATACCAGCCACTGTCCCCACAGCAAAGGCAGCACAGCATTCAGGCATTATTAGCTGATCTATCAGCAGGTCAGCATTCAGGCATTATCAGCTGACTTATCAGCAAGCACAGCATTCAGGCATTATTAGCAGCACAGCATTAAGGCATTATCAGCCAATTTATCAACAGCAGATTTCTCCTAGTCCCATTCCTAAAGAAACTTCCAGCCTAAATATGTTGCACGGGCTTTCAGTCCAGAAGCTCCTATGCAGGCCTCAACTTTAGCACAGTCAAAGTGCTCACTGGTCCCGGTGTGTCTTACACAGGCCCCTCCACCCACAGTGTCTCATTTCTGGAACCTCAAGCCTTCCTGGAAAAAGTCTGTCCATGATTTAATCATTAGCTGACCTAGGAGATATACTCCTTTTAATCTTCCTCCAACATTGTCACCTGACTTTCCTTAGAGCACAAATCTCTCTCTCTCTCATATATATATATTTTATATATATATATATATAATATATATATATATATATATCTGTGTGTGTGTGTGTCCCACTCAAGAAGTACATATATGTTTTCATTTTTGAACTATGGGAACTAGAGCACACTTTTAATCTCCCCTCTTGGACCCCTGGAAGGCAGAGAAAGCCTAGAATCTTCCCGTTCCCACAGTACCTTGTAGGAGATAGGTCCGTTGTACATGACTGACTCTGAATGTCTTCATATATTGAGGATAAAATTACACTCATTAGTCTAACTTTTTATTACTTTAATGTGACTGGCTGAAAAGTGAATGATGACAATTTTTTTTTTTTTTTTTGGTTTTTCGAGACAGGGTTTCTCTGTGTAGCTTTGCGCCTTTCCTGGGACTCACTTGGTAGCCCAGGCTGGCCTCGAACTCACAGAGATCCGCCTGGCTCTGCCTCCCGAGTGCTGGGATTAAAGGCGTGCGCCACTACCGCCTGGCGAATGATGACAATTTTAAAAAATTTCATTAAAATATAATTGTCACTCTGTCCTTCCTTTTCTCCCCTCCAACCCCTTCCCTTCTGTGATTCCTCCCTCCGACCCCTCCCATGGCCCCCCACTCTCTCTCAAATCAATGACTTCTTTTTCTTTGACTATTATTGTTACTTATGTATACACATAAATATATAAATACAATTTGCTGAGTCTCTTAAGTGTTGCTTGCATTTATGTGATTTCAAAGTTGACTATTTTGTATTGGATAATCAATTAGGGGACTCATCACTGGGAGAGGCTCTCCTCTCAGAAGTCATTGGTTGCCTGTAGTTCTTTGTCTAGGACTGGTGACCTATGAGATTTCCCCCTTTCCATGTTAGCAAGTCTAATTGGTGGTGTCCTTGCTTAGGTCTTGTTAAGGCAGCTACATTGTTGAAGTATCATGGATGTAGCTTCCCAGTCATTTCCAGGAGACACAATTTCACAGCAGATTTCCTGGTCCTCTGGTTCTTACCATCCTACCACTGCCTCTTCCATGATGTTCCTTGAGCTTAGGTGCAAGAGTTCTATTGTATGTGTGTAGCAGGAATCTTAAAAGTTCTTATTAATAATATCAAACCTGAGGCCAGTTATTGGGGTCAATGCTGGCAGATCAGATGCAGAACAAGCCATAGCTATCTCACCTTGCCAATTCCTCAGCTGGTCCTGTTTCCTCAGACTGGAAGCCTCTGAGTCCCCATCCAGAATGAATCTCAGCTGAACTGTGTTGCTCAAAAGCCTGAAAGCTTAACCAGCCAAATGCTTCTAGTTTCTGGTCCTCATGCCTTATATATCTTTCTGCCTTCTATCACCACTCCCTGGGATTAAAGGCTTGCTTTCTGGGATTAAAGGCGTGAGTCACCATGCTTGGCTGTATCCTTGAACACATGGATTTCTGCCTCTGGAATGCTAGAATTAAAGGTGTTGTACTACCACTGCCTATCCTCATGTTTAATATTGTGGCTGCTCTGTCTCTGACCCCAGATAAGTTTATTAGCATGCACAATATTTGGGGGAATACAATACCACATATGTGTATCTGTTAGGTCTGGGCACCCATGATCAGTACATCTCTGCATATATAAACAGCAATTTAAAAATTTAAGGTTTAAACTTTTATGGGTATGTTTATATATATGTGACCTCCTCATCTGTGCCATGGCATGTGTGTGTGACACACACACACACACACACACACACACACACACACACACACACAAATACAAAAAGGGAATGAGGCCGATTCACGAACTTCTACATGACAGAGCACAAAGCAAACTTCATATGAAAGTCCTGTCCCACTGCATGCCTTTTCTTACTTTTAGAGCTTTCCCTAAGTTCTATTCTTATACATTCAATTTCTGATTGGTTGGTTTAGTTGTTGTTGTTGTTTTCCTTGGGGTGGTTACCTGGACAGGGATTTGTAGAGAAGGCGAACCTCTCAAGCTTTTCAGATGCGCCATCTACCTTCAGAGATGCTGTCTGTTTGCATTGCTACTGGAACGCCCTTCCATCACTGGGTATGCTTACAGCTTAACTCTGCCAATATAACAGGCGAAAGCAATGGTCCCTTCAGGTTTGGCTGCTCTGATCACCCTTGGCTTTAACTCCTCAACCACCCTTCTTCCTGTGCCCACCGTGAGAATCTGTATCTAAAAGGCTCTTCCCTTCCCTGCTCAACCTGCTCAGTGTTTTATTTACTCAATAATTTAATCATTTTGATATAGTATTTAGCTTTTAAACTACAATGCCTTCACCTATATATGAACATCCTAAGAATAATACACCTCTCACTGGACTGTCATATGAAATATACATATATATAAAATATATATACATACTTGATTTAAAAAAAACTGTCCAAGAAATATGCATTCCTTTCCTTAATAAATATGAATTGAGAATGAACAAATTATATAAATTCTGAGCAAACATTTGTGTCAATTTTCTTTGATGTTTATGTTAAAACTTACCTCATAAAGTTGTAGTTTGAGCATCTAGACGGTTCAGTTGTATCTGATTTGTTTTTGTATTATATACCTTTAGATTCTTAACTGTTTTAGACTAAAATCTTTCAACAATTACATTTTAAAATTACTTTTATTAGTTGTGATATATCTCACTAAAATATACTCTGACTCATACCAGTGTTGGGATAGAGGAAGAAGCTAGGTTCTCAGTTGTGGTAAGACACGTCTGGTTTCTAGTCTGTAATTCAAGGTAGGCTTTAAAATGACATAGCCCTTGATTCTTAGAGCCACTCCCCGCCAGAGATTCCTGTGGGCAAAAAAATTCTGAGTGCTAGTCTGGTATCTCGTCATCTCCACTGAGATCAGGGAATCTAACTCAGTGGTGATGTTTCCCGCCACACCATGCTTTGAACTCTTCAAGTTTGGGGACACTTACCTCACAAATGCAGTTCTCTGGCCTTCATTGAAGGCATTACTCCCTAGTCCCTTCAGGACCCAAGGGGTGAGGCAACACATATAATTATACATGACCAAGTCTCCATTAGTCTTGTCTCCCTGAGCCTTTAAAATCCTTCCATATGCCATGTGGTGAGTTAGCGTCACCGAATGTAGCCTATTATCATGTCAATCTTTCAACCACTCAACCAAGAAAGCAAAACCCTTCTCAGGTGCACAAGCTAATACATTTGTTTCACAGCACTTGCTGTGTTACAAGCTACCCCAAACTTAGTGACCTAAAACAATTAGTGATAGTTTATGATTTTCTTGATTAACAATTTGGACTGATCTAAGTGGGGGCAACTCACTTCTGTCCTATCTGGATGATAGTCTGAAAACAGCAAAGAAAAAAAAAAGAGGAAAAGCTGATATGTGTAAGGACTTTTCAAGTTAGTCTATGATTGTATCATATTTCCTTTTTTATACTATTTTTAATTATTTTATATGTATGGGTGATCTGCCTGAAGATCTGTGCACCACGTGTGTGCAGTGACCTTGGAAATCAGAAGAGGGCACTGGATTCCCCTGGAACTGGAGTTATAGATGGCTGTAAGCCATCTTGTAGTGCTGGGGATAGAACCTGGGTCCTCTGGAAGAGCAGCCACTGCTTTAAACCACTGAGTCATCTCTCCAGCCCCAGTCATATCATACTTCTAATGTTTCTTTGGTCAAAGAAAGCACATAGGCATGCCAGCTTTCAGTGTATAAAGAGATGATATGAAACATGGTGTTCTGAAGGACCAGAAATACTGTAACAGTCTAAAATATTGAGTCCAAAGTATTCAGGAAATGACAGTCAGGGCTACCCAAATTTCTGCTTCATCTAATGTTAGTGTCTGTTATTCTTAATCAAATACCTTTAGAATACACCGCATATGTCTTATTCAGTTTATTCAAATATAAATTTTAAAAACATCTGTGATTCTCTTGGAATATGAGACCTTTCCTATCCACCTAGACTCTGCTCCTGTCCCCCTGAATGTGGTGGGAACACTGGGGTGTCTGACAAATGGGGATACCCCCTGTGAGGCCATTGTTCATATGTGGTTATACAGGGTTTTAAGCAAGGGAAGTTAGTTTTACCAGACAGGAAAGAAGGACTTCTTTCATTATGAAGGGGAGTTCAGGGACAAGTTCATAACAATGCTCAAATGTTCCCATTTCTAGCCTGAGTTCTACTCTTTCCAAGTTACTGTTCTCCACAGAATTGTCAGTTCCTGAATGCTTGATTTGCTTCTGAGTTTTCAGTCATATTTGGTTATTCCTGCAACCAGAAGGAGTAGGAGATATTTTTAGAGTCAACTTAGAACCTCAACTGATGCTCTGCCTATGGTTTTAGGGGAAATCTCTGAGCTTGTTGCTTTGTTCCTGTCCACACGGTAAAGCATTCAGAAACAGCCACCTCACCTCACATCCCTTATAACCATCTTTACTAGAGTAATGCTCAAATATAACAGCTACTTGGTCTCCACAACCCTACCCCTCCATCAAACCCCTCCCCTCAGGTCTCTGGGACCTATGCAGAAAAGGAGGTAGATTGTAAGTCAGTGGGGATGGAGGACATCAAGAAAACAAGGCCTTCTGGACACAGCAGCGCTGATGCACATATGGACTCATGGAGACTGGCAGCATGCGCAGGTCCAAACTAAATGAGGTCCCAGTGCTGAGAGGGCAACAAGGCCTCATCCTTACACAGAAACTTTCTCCAACGGACAACTGCTCACAAAAGAAGTATTCATTTTCTCCAAGGGAGGACTATCACTGGGTGTATACACCACATTTAAGTGGGGGGGCATGCCCAGCAGTAGATGGCTAACACAAAGCAAACTCTATGGTACTTTTAGAGATGTTTTGGCTCACAATACTTTGTTTGGGCTTTTCTTTAAAAAAAACAAAACAAAACTTTTTTTCTCTTGCTTTTCTATTATGTTTTCCAGGTTTTTTTTTTTTTTGTGTGTGTGTGTGTGTGTGTGTGTATGTGTTTTTTGTGTTTTTTCT